ATAGTTTTTGCTTAAGGGTATAAACATAAGTACTTAGAAAGAAATTTGTTATTATCTCTCTTTAGATAATCATTATTAGTAATTTCGTCTCACAGAAATGATCTATAGACCATCAATGGAATCTGAGAGTTGGAGAGTCACTATCTTCAATTTTTGCAAGCACTGTGCCAATCAGAAACCAACACATAGTTCCAATAACAAGGACACAGATATTTCTGAAAGTAAGTAGAAGATAGAAATCAGTAGACACAAATGTGAAAAGGAGATCAGTAGGGGAAAGGAGAGTAGACATGAGAAACAGGGAGATGAGAGAGGCTAGAGTTAAAAACAATCAAAATGCATGATACACATGTATGGAACTGTCAAAATACAAATTTGATTTTTCAAAAAGAAAACGTGCAGCATGAGATGTACTGGACTGCTCACTAATATGGAAGTTTCAGAAACATGGAACTGGATCCTAGGTCCATCCATTATTCCTTTGAGAGGAGAAGACAAATAGGCAGAAGAAAATCAAGAGAAACATAGGGAAAAAACAGTAGCTGAAGAGATTGTCAGTTTCAGTCTTCAAGTTCTACTCAATGTGTTTTAACACTTCCTTTCTATTGGGAGTATGCAATATCACTTGATTTTCACTTGCCTCCTGACTGTCATGAGTCAATATCTCCTTATACCAAACCAAAATAAAGGAACTGTATCCTTACCCCATCATGATTTATTATTAAATATAAATTGTTCAATTAGCTGTGATATAAGAAATCCCTTGGGAGTATAACAATTAGAAAAGAAGGAAAATAGTTACCTTTAATACCAGAGAATGTAATAGCTTACAAGAAAATCTCTAAGGAGTCAGTGATCAAACTAAGTAAAGACTTCAGTAAAGTATTGAGAATAAAAATAACACTCAGAATTCAGTGAAAAATAGATCTAGCTACAGGACATAAACCCCGCCGTAAGGTAATGAGGTGATAGAACATATGTGTGTGCACTGAGCAAAAGGAGTGAAGATCTCATCTGAGACTGTCAAATGCTCCCAAAGTTCAAGAAGTAGACTTGAGCAAGTGAAAACTTAACACTTGAAATTGAAGAGTCAACCCATAAAGATACTGTTTTCACACTAAATTTACAAATTTGACAAAACACTAACAAAATTCCCATAATTTTTTATGGTTCTAGCTGATTCTTTTTTACTTAGTGAAACCTCATCATACTCAAACTCATCCAGGGGAGGGTGAAGTATGTGAAACTGAACACATGTATGAAGGACAAAGATTACTTTTGACACAGTTGTAAATTAAGAACTATTACTACAGTCAAAATAATAAATAGTTGATTATGTTTCATGACTCTTCTTTTGACCTATGCCCGTAGACAACAACTGATTTTCATATTGTCACAATGGACTGGTGATTTGCATTTCTATAATTTAATGTAAATAGAAACTTTATTTATATGTTCTTAGCTTTAGTTTATTCAAAATAATCATTTAAATATTTATCTACAAATCCATTTTTATTGTTTAGAATACTATTGTATGGATTTAACAAAATCTATTCACTTATTTATTGGTGATCACTCAGGGTCTTTTAGTATATTATAAATAAAGTTGTAATCAGTTCCATACTATTATGATCATACATATTATTTAATTAGAACAGATACCTAGTTGAAATATTTGTATATTATGTTAAGGGAGCTCTTAACCATCCCTCAAAGTGCAACTCTGCTTCTGAATGAGGTAAATTTTAAACTTTGAACAGTTATGGATAAAATTTACAGTTGATCCATTTTAAAGCCCAAACTTGATAACATTTTTATTTAAATTTTTTTAGTTCTAATGTAGTCATGTTTTGTGTTTTTAAATTTGCTTTACTTTGTGTTAAAGATACAAAATGTGTTTTTATGTGCTTATTGTTCATTTATTTATTTATTTATTTATTTTTATTTTTATTTTGCAATACAATTCAGTTCTACATATCAGCCACGGATTCCCTTGTTCTCCCCCCCTCCCACCCCCCTCACCTTCCTTCCAGCCCACTCTCCATTCCCACCTCCTCCAGGGCAAAGCCTTCCCCGTGGATTGAGATCAACCTGGTAGACTCAGTCCAGGTAGGTCCAGTCCCCTCCTCCCAGGCCGAGCCAAGCGATCCTGCATAGGCCCCAGGTTTCAAACAGTCAACTCATGCACTGAGCACAGGACCTGGTCCCACTGCCTGGATGCCTCCCAGACAGATCAAGCCAATCAACTGTCTCACCCATTCAGAGGGCCTGATCCAGTTGGTGACCCCTCAGCCATTGGTTCATAGTTCATGTGTTTCCATTCGTTTGGCTATTTGTCCCTGTGCTTTATCCAACCTTGGTCTCAACAATTCTCGCTCATATAAACCCTCCTCATTCTCGCTAATTGGACTCCCAGAGATCCACCCGGGGCCTAGCCATGGATCTCTGCATCCATATCCCTCAGTAGTTGAGGGGTTTCTAGCACGACAATTAGGGTGCTACTCACATCACCAGGGAGGCTACCTGGAAAACAGGACCCCAAGAAAGACACGGGGATCGCCCAATGACAGAGAAATGGAATAAGATCTACATGAACAGCCTGGACATGAGTGGGGGTAGTGAAGGGCGAGTGTTGAGGGAAAGAGAGCTTGGGGGAGCGGGAGATCCCAGCTGGATCAACAACAGAGAGGGAGAACAAGGAATAGGAGACCATGGTAAATGAAGACCACATGAGAATAGGAAGAAGCAAAGTGCTAGAGAGGCCCACAGAAATCCACAAAGATACCCCCACAACAGACTGCTGGCAATGGTCGAGATACAGCCCGAACTGACCTACTCTGGTGATGGGAAGGCCAAACACCCTAATTGTCATGTTTATTTATTTTATTCTATCAGTTCTGTTGCTATAGATAAGAATGATTAATGCTACAACATAAAGAGGTTCTCTCACAGGACCCCACACGTCTCTGCTGAAATATTCAATATTGATATGATTTGTTATTAATAAGGTCAATCAAGATTTATTCTCCTTCATTATGAATAAATATACTATCAATATCAATGATGACTCTGCTATGTTAAAAAATACATATCATTTAGATAAGAAAATTTTCAGTAATTCTTGTTTTTACAAAAGTTTTGAAGAATATAGGAGCTGCAGAAATCAGCAAATGAGGGATCTAGGTTAGAGACTGATATATTACAAAGCCTTCATATAAATTTTTAAGAAAAAATATAAGAAACATTAAAATGAATATTTTAAGGAAATTATTATTATACCCAAGTCACTGAGGGAAATATAATGCTCAAAAACTGTGACAGGAAAAGTAAAATGAATGCCTTCTTCTACTTACTATATACATTATGTTCTTTGTACATGGTACAAAATCAAGCCATTTTATTTAGCACTTACATGAAGCATCTAGGACAAGATGGCCTTATACCAGGCCTTGCTATCTCTAGGATCCACAGAGTGCCAGTACTGGTTCCCTAACAATTTGCTAATTAGTGTTTTGTTTCCCTCAGTCACTATCGTATCCAATGGCCAAGCACTCCATAGATGTTTATGTGTTCAATAAACAGAAAACATTGTTTCTATCATATTCTTTCTTTTTATAAATGCTTTTTGGAAATACTATTTTAATTTTTTGATAATATATTATACTTACATCACTCCCCCCATCTCTTCCCTCTCTCCAAACCCTCCTAAGTACCCTTTCTTGCTCTCTTTCCAAATCATACCATCTACTTTTCATTAATTGTTCTTATATAGAGCTAGTAAGACATGAATCCTGGAGAATAACTTACAATTTCCACTTTACTACACCAACAAAATATTTAACTACATTATAGTTTTTCTTATATACACACTTAATAATGTTTTTTAAAGATGAAAGCTATCAGTATGATTTTAAAAATAATGAACTAGAGAGATGGCTCAGAACCCAGAATCTGCTTCTGGCATCTCTCAAATTCTTGTAACTCTGGCACCAAAAGTTGTCTTCTGTACTACAAAAGCAACTACAAATACACATATACTCTCACATGGTTACAGACATTCACACACACACACACACACACACACACACACACACACACACACACAAAGTAAATAGATGATAGATAGATAGATAGATAGATAGATAGATAGATAGATAGACAGATAGACAGATGACAGATAGAGAGATAGATGATAGATAAAATGAATGAATGAATGAATGAATACAAGGATTCTACATGTCCATCATTGATGGCAACAGGAAGAAAGGAAAGTTGCAGGAAGACACAAAGATCACTCATTTCTAAGGAAGCATATGAATGACAAATGAGCTGCAGCTTGGACTTTGTATGGGCCTTTAGGTGTGCTGAGGATTCCAAACCAAAATTCAAATTTTCTAGAAATGGAAAACAAAAATTCTGTCCTGTCCTTACATAGTCTCCCTGTCTACTCTGCCTATGTTCTCTTTCACCACTCCTGGTGTAAAACAAATACAAATGCTTTATAGGTGGCTGAGCATATCAGTACTCTGTTTCATCCATAAACATGACTAGGTACCATCCAGGAATAGGTTTTGGATACATGACTTAGTTATGTGTCAGAAATCACAAATGCATGGCAAAGCCATGTGATTAAAATTTTCTCATTTATGGCAAGCAAGTAAAACATTGTAATGAGGGCTCATTTATTGAAGATAATTAGGGAGATAGAAAATTATGTGTTAATGAGGAAGCAATAAAATAAGGAAGAAGTAAAACAAAAACAAATCGTGTCGATAAGAGCATAAATCAAGCAAAGGAAAAAAATTAAGACATTTTGACAACTGAAAAGAGATGGTCCTTGACGATGAAATAATTTATTAGTTCACCTTGAGTAATTTGCCCCCAATCCCCAAGTCTTCAAGGCAGTGGTGATGTCTATGTTACCCTTGAACAGAAAGGACAAGCTTTTGAAGAAGATATAATATCATTAGAGTACTATTAAAGATCTAAGCATTTCTCTATCATTTCTTAGACAGAATTGGCACTTGCTGTAGTACTTTCTTCAGAGAGCATTTTACTTCTTTATTTCTCAGGCTATAGATCAAAGGATTCAGCATGGGTGTGACCAGGTTATTCAAGACCTGCACAGCTGCATTAAGCCAGGGATTGGGGGTAGGCTGGAGGTATATGAGGACCACGGGCATAAAGGCGAGGAGGATGGCAGTAAGATGGGCACTGCAGGTGGAGAAAGCTCTATGCCTCCCCTCAGCAGATTGGATTTGCAGAATTGAGAAGAGGATACAGCTGTAGGAGGTGAGGATGAGGAAGAAGCAGCTGAGGGGCATCAGGCCCACACTGATGAGCCCCACCATCTCCAGGGCTGATGTATCTGCACAAGCCAGTTTTACCATAGCAGGGATGTCACAGAAGTAATAGTCCACCTCATTGGGACCACAGTAGGGCAACTGGAAAGTGAGAGTGGTCAGAAAGGTAGCCTGAATGCAGCCAAAAAATGATGTCCCTGTGGCCAGGATGACACACACTCTGTGATTCATGATTGTTGAGTACCTTAGAGGATGGCATATGGCCACAAAGCGGTCATAGGCCATCACTGTGTACAGAAAACATTCAGTACAACCCAGGAAATGGTAGAAGAAGAGTTGGCACACACAGCCTGCATAGGAGATTACTTGGGTGTTTCCTGAGAGGTAGAACAGCATCTTGGGAGAGCTAACTGAAGGGAAGAATATGTCACACATGGACAGCTGGCACAGGAAAAAGTACATGGGGGTGTGAAGCCTAGTAGAAGATACAATTGCAAGGAGTATGAGCAGGTTCCCCACCAGAGTAAAGATGTAGAAAGATAAAAACAGGACAAAGAGTGTGGTCTCCAGACCCTCTGTGTGCGGGATGCCAAGCAGGACAAAGTGAGTCACTATAGAGAGATTCATCATGGTTTCAAAAATGCATGACTTCAAAGCAAAACACAGATCTCCAAGACACAAATATTGAAATCAGACCACAGAGTTTTATCATACATATATTGGTTTCATTTTTAACAAAAACCCTTATATTATGGAGCAGAACTACATGGAGAAAAAAATCCATGAAGAGTGTAATTGGGGACTATAAGTTTTTGTTGAGTTGGACAATAGTCACTACAAACTTGCTTTGCCAAAGATTACAATTAAGATGTTAGGTAGAACATAATTCATTTTCCTAGGTACTTTGCTAAGTAACAGGAAGCAGCTATGGAAAAGGAGATACACTCCTGAAGAACACCCCATTTATAAGAGAGATTCAACATTTTCCTTCCTCTTTGGTCTTCTGATCTAGAGTGCTTAGTGAGTTAAAGTTACTGGGCTGAGACTTCATGGGAGGAGCTTCTTACAAAACTAGAAGACAAGTAGGAAAAACAGTTTTCTCATGGGCAGAGCACACCGACTGGTTATCGAATACTAAATGATCAGCCTTGAAAACAAACTTGCAACCAATACTATACAGACTAAGGAGGCTTACCTATGACAACAAATAATGAAAAAAGAGGTTATTAGTTTGAAAGACAACAAGGAAAGGTATATGAGAGGAATTGGGGGAGGAAAATAAAGAGAGGGGATGATATAAATATTATAATCTCAAAAATAAATAAAGAAAAATAAATTATAGGATTATGGCATGACTATTAATGATAATCAAACTGAAATATATCATGTTAGCCACATTTTCACTGTGGAACCTGTTGCAATGTATCTTTGTCTATAGAAAATGTTGGATAATTAGGGTTTTTCCTTGGTCTTCCTCCCAGTAATTCCTTTCTGTTCTCTCCTGCCTTCCTATCTCTTCCTACTTCTTTCCAGTTGTGCCCCCAACAACTCTTAGGAGATTTGGAAAGATGTATGAACAACATGAGGAACAAAACTTTCAGAAAAACTTTTTGGACAGAGGAATCTTACATTGACTTGTCTACTTTCTCAAATCTCTCTGTGTCTCTTTGTGTCTCTCTCTGCATCTCTCTCTGTGTCTCTGTGTCTCTCTCTGTGCCTCTCTGTGCCTGTTTCTGTCTCAGTCTCTCTGTCTGTCTCTGTCTCTATCTCTCTCTGTCTCTCTGTTTCTGTCTCTGTCTCTGTCTTTCTCTCTCTCTCTCTCTCTCTCTCTCTCTCTCTCTCTCTCTCTGTGTGTGTGTGTGTGTGCGTGTGTGTGTGTGTGTGTGTGTGTGTGTGTGTGTGTGTGTGTGTGTGTAACAAAATCAGGACTTGTTCCTGGGTATTATATGTGCAGAACAAAAGTAAAGATTATCACAGAGATGTGGAGAACTCAAACCACTTGTTCAACCTTCAGTGAGACTCTTGGAGATAAAGAATATATCACTGTAAAAGTTTTAGAGCTAGTTCTAGATGCATTGCCTATAAAGAGAAATAGGAGGAACCACTTGTCGATGCTGTTTAGGTTGACACAAGAAAGCTAACACAAGTCAGTACTGTCTAGAAAATTTCAATACAATCTAAGATCTAAATAACATAGGAAATATATTGAATGCAACCTAGAAAACAAGTAAGAATATGCAATCACTTTTCAAGAAAATATAATCAGGAGATATAAGTTCTGAGATTATACAGATATTATCTTTGATAATAAAACATTTGATATTAAATTATTATTTTGATAATAAAACATCTACTATAACATTTCATAAGGTATGGATAGGTAGATTTGAAGTCTATAGCCTACCTAACTCAATAGAGATATCCAAAGTATAAAAATCAAGTAGACAAAAATTTGGCATTGAAAATTAACAAATGCTTAGCAAACAGATTATACACATGCACACACACACATCTGTATCTATATCTATATATGTATATCTATATCTATCTATCTATCTATCTATCTATCTATCTATCTATCTATATATATATATATATATATATATATATATATATATATATGGTAGTCTTAGCTATTGCAGCAAAGGATAAAAAAGAGACAAGAGGATATGCTTCAGAACTAAACAATTTCCATATTTATATATGTCTCAACGATTCCAGAAAAAGAAAAGCCTCTAGAACTAAATCATACAATTAGAATAATAAGATCAGAATATATCAAAATAATACCCCCAAAACCCTGTACTGCTGCATATATACAAACAAAGAAAGATATCCAGTTATAATAGAAGCAACATACATACCTTAAGACAGTGGTGCTCAATCTGTGATCACAACCCTTTTGGGACTTGTATATCAGATATCCTATATCTGAGATACACTATGATTCATAACATAAAAATTACAGTTCTGAAATAAAATAATTTTATAGTTAGGGGTCATCACAACCTCAGGAACTATATTAAAAGGTTGAAGTGTTAGAAAGTTTGAGTACCACTTCTTTAAGATATATAGATTGGCCAGCCAGATGGTTCATGTGATAAAGGCACTTTCTCCCTAGACTGAGGACATGGATTCAATCCACAGGACCCAAATACCAGATGGAGAAAATCTGCTCCTCTTGTTGTCTTCTAATGTCCACATGCATACAGCATGTATGCTACTACATACATAGACATATATACACATACACAGGCTCACACAGATGCAGAGACAAAATAAATAAGAATTTACATAAACCCTTCATTCAACTTCTTTTGAATAAAAAAGGCTAACAAATGTATACATTCTCAAGTACATTTTAAACAAAACTTTGCACACAACAGTCAGAAAAGACACCTATACTTGGAGGAAAATTGTATTTTCATGGAATTACTCTATTCAAACTACAATCAATACAATCTTAACTTTAACCATATTAGAATTTTTAATGGTAATAACAAATTAATTCCCTACCCTACACAAAAACAGAATGATCATAATAGAGAGAAAAATTTTTATTCTAATTAAAATACAATAAATTATTTCCCCTTTTCATATACAAAACAAATTTGTAAAGCTCAAACTACCAGATTTCACGTATTTACTACTTATTTATTTAGTCTTCTCTCATACATTACATCCTGACTGCAGTTTCCCCTCCCTTTGTTCCTCCCCGTTCTCTCCCCGACTACCTCCTCTATCACTAGATCCACTCCTCCTCCATTTCATTTCAGGAAATATTAGGCCTTTGAGGAACAACAATCAAACACAACATAACAAGTTACAAAAAGACTAGGCATAAACCCTAGTGTAAACTCATATAGAGGCTGCAAGAAGCGAAAGGTAAGGAGGAAAAGGGTTCCAAGAACAAGAAAAAGAGTCAGAGACATCCCCATTCCCACTGTTAGGAATTCCACAAGAACAACACACTACACAATCATAATTAACAGATTTAAGTACTTACTTTAGCATTGTATTATTGAGTTCATGTGCACCGAAGACAGTAGGGTCATATCTCAGCAGAACCAAATAGAGAATTCAGATAACTCTCATATGCATGGTTAATTTATTTTTGACAAACTGTAAAAAAAAAAAGTAGCCCAAAAATAATCTTTGCAATATTAATTCAGGAATCATTGAGCAATTATACAGAAAATAAAAATGAAAACTCAGTTTTCCTCGATCATCTCTAACAACTTATACAAAATATATTTAAATACATCATGGTTTAAATGCATTTAAAAATATACAATTCCTCTAGAAAATAACAGAAGCATTTTATTATAATCTTAGTTTCAGACAATTCACAATTGCAATCCATGATTTTCTTTCAAATAAAACAAGCTAAACCACCTAAAAATTAAAAATTTCTTATATTGAGATCATGAAAGAGGACAAAAGAATACAGATCAACAAAGATCAGTAGGGGACTGAAGAGAGAAATCAAACAAAAAAAATGCAATGGGAGATTCCTGGTAGTTTACTGACACCATAGTAACTCAATAGATGACAAATGAGTAAAATTAAAATTAAGTCACTAGGCAGTAATAATTGTAACAGTGTTAATGTACTGATAATAAATAAAGGGAATAAATTAATAATACGATACATGTTGCCATCAAGATATTCTAGGTACTGAATATTTGTAAATTATATTAATTTTGGAAATTTAATTCTATAATTGATTATAACTAAAAGTTAAAATATTAAAAATCTTGTATACTTCCTTACAAAGAAGAAAATGTTAGTTCACACACAGAAAATATTTACAAATTGTATGTCCAATGAGAATTAGTATACATACAAGTTCTTTAAATGCAAATATAAAAAGCCAGGAGATTCCTCTAGCTCAAGAAAAACAAGGAACTTATTTGAAGACAGTTTTAATCAAAACTGTTAAATAAATACAAATAAGTTAAAAGAATATATTGAACATCATCAGTCAAAGAAATGCAAGTTAAATCACAATGGGATGCTATTGTGCACTTGTAATTTTAAGGTTAAATACAAAATGAGAAAACCAAATGCCACAGAATATAGATTACCACTTTTACCAGCTTATGAGAAAGGATGTCTTATTCTTATGTAAAAACATGTTTTGAAGAAAGTGCTTCTGTGAGATTCTTAATTAAAACCATTTTTCAGAAAAATAAAACATTTTCAAACAACTAAGTAATTGGAAGATTCTTACTGTTAGAGAAAAGAAAAAAAATAGAAACAATTTTTCTGCAGAATCAAGTTGGATTTCTTGAAGTGCTGAGGATTTGACCCAGTATGTAAGCTAGCAAAGGTCAGTGCCCTATCACTGAACTGTATCCCAGGCCCTGGTTTTTCTGAGATAATGTCTTACCAGCTCAGGCTCACCCTGAACTTACTATGATGCTCTCGCTAATGACGTCCAACCCAGTTCCTGAAAAGACACTGAAACTGGAGATACTTGTCACTTTATACTGCTGGAGACTCTCTGCAATGTTACAAATGTTACCCAAGTCATATTCTTTGGTACTTAGAAAATTCAGGGTCTTTCAGCCTCGGAATTGAACTTTGGTGTTTATAGAGCAATGTTCATGGCACGGGCATGTTATCAAGTCTTGAACACCTTCACTGCTACCTAGATCAATGTTTTTAGATGCCCTTGAGGATTTTTCATGATTTAGTCATTGGTATCCCTGAGGGACCAATTAGATGTAAGTTTGCTACATTCTTCATTAAATTTAAACAATAGAGGTTTGGAAATAGAAATAAAAAAATTTCCAGTGTGCCAGCCTGCCAGATAGACTAATCTAAGACTGGAAGGTACTTGACAACATCTATTGACTGTCTCACATGTTAAAGTCTTGCCTTGGGCAACACTCCAACACTCTCACTTCAATTCTATAAACATCTCTCAGGATTCTGTAACTATCTAAAAGGCACATTGCAATTTAAAACATAATTTAATGAATAGGACAGCAGTATTCAATCACCCTACATGTCCTTACAGTAAGACACTTTAAAAAATGTTAAAACAATATATTCAAAGGAAAATTATGAATCAGTAATGTTAATATAAACTCTTTGATGTAGATATGATTTAATGTAAAGATCAATATTGATTGAGCATTTGTAAGGTACTGTACTATTTTCTTAAATTCAATGATTATTTTCTCAGTTAATTAAAAACACCTCATTGAGTAGGAGAGGAAAATAAAACACTGATACTTAATAACTCAGTCACACAGTTGGTGACAGATCTAGGCCAGGTCTGATTCCAGAACCAAGGCCTCTCATCCTTCTGTCCTGATACCTGTTATTATTGACTGATATGAGACTGACTTGAGGTCTGATACCTGAAATAGGAAGCAGTTGTCCCCTCTTATAACAGGACTGACCCTAAATGGGACAGTTTTTTATTGTTGTTGTTTTTCCAGAGGCCAGGTTGCTAAGACCTCTGTCCCATATTACTCCACCAGCCTATGTTGACTCATGTCTGGCTTCAATCTGACCCTCAGGAAGTACATTCAGCCTGGTAGCCAATCAGGGTCATACCCAGTCACAAGCTAATAAAGAAAATTTATGAATTTTAAAAAGCAAGGGGAATATAGGAAGGATTTGAAGGGAGAAAGGGAAAGCAGAAATGCAATAACTAAAATATAACAATAATTAAATAAAAGAAAAATAATACAAATACCTGTAATACAAAAAGTTATTTTACAGAACTTAATTTGGGAAATTTTAATTCCCTAGATATTTGTGTGGTAGTATTGTATTCCCCGAAATATTGTGCATGCTAATAAATTTATCTGGGGTCAGAGAACAGAACAGCCACAATATTAAACATAGAGGATAGGCAGTGGTAGCACATGCCTTTAATCCTAGCATTCCAGAGGCAGAGATCTACCTGGATCTCTGTGTGTTCAAGGATACAGCCAGGCATGGTGGCACACGCCTTTAATCCCAGAAAGTGAGCCTTTAATCCTAGGGAGTGATGGCAGAAAGCAGAAAGGTATATAAGGCGTGAAAATCAGAAACTACAAGCTTTTAGCTGGTTAAGCTTTCAGGCTTTGGAGCAGCAATTCAGCTGAGATTCATTCTGGATGAGGACTCAGAGATTTCCAGTCTGAGGACACAGGGTCAGTTGAGGAAGTAGCGAGATGAGGTAGCTGTGGCTTGTTCTGCTTCTCTGATCTTTCAGCATTTACCCCAATACCTGGCCCCAGGTTTATTTTATTAATAAGACTTTCTAAGATTCATGCTACATATTTGGATCTTACTCTGCTAAATTTTGTATAGTGATACTTCTTGCTCTTTAGGTACTTATGATAATTAGAGCATCCTATTGTCAGATATGTGGAAAATATTCAGCAAATGTTACTTGTTAGAGTATAATTTTGTGTGCAAATGATGTACCCATTTGTACCTATTAAGATAGACCCAGCTTTTCACATAACATAACCCTGCAATTTTGTGTGATATCAATATTTTCTCATTTATCTTGTGAACTGGAATTTATCTTGATTCCATGAAACTATGTACACAAGAAATCATGTGTGAAATAAAAGTAACTCTTAATAATTTCAGATTATTTTTATTTATTAGCTTCTGTTTGACAAAATTAAGAAAATATAAAAATAAAATATTACAATGGGTTAAAATAGTGTTGACAATGCCAATTGTGGGCTAGGAGTAGCCAGACATCAGAGATATTTCATGTGCATTGGGAAACTGCTCCCCTGCTTTAGAAAATAACCTCATGACTTACTCTAAATTTAAAGAGATATTCACACTGTAATTGAACAGTCTGTAGCAGAAATATTATCCAAGAGGAATATTACCAATTTTCTGTAGGGAGATGTGTACAAAAATGTGCACAGTTGCTTTATTTAGAACATTTTGAGTCTCTCTGAATCTACATGTTCAACAGGCTCAAGCTGTTGCCATGCATGTTTTCAAACATTTATTATTGCATTTTGATTTAGTGTGTGTGTGTGTGTGTGTGTGTGTGTGTGTGTGTGTGTGTGTATGTGTTTCTGTGTGTGTCTGTGTCTGTGTGTCTATGTTCATATAATAGTGTCCCTATTGCAGTCAGAGGACAACTTGAGGGAGTCAGTTCATTCCTTCTACCTCATGAATCCTGTGTCTTGAACTATAGTCCTCAGCTTCAGTGACAAGTGTCTTAACTTGATCACCAATTCTCCAACTACCCTGCTGCACGGCATGTGATGCCCCATTTTAGCCTCTGGCCAGGCATGCACAAAACACACATACATACATGCAGGCAAAACACCCATAAGCATAAAACTAAAAATAAATAAAATAATAACAAATATATAAAACATAAAACATTCACAATAATTCTGTATACTGAGGTCTGAGGTTACAAATCTAGAGTAAAGTCTGAGAGGCATATGATAATTTCATGACGTATGATAATTATACAAATACAATAATTAGGTCTGAGTTTTTGCTTATTCTTAACTTGAAGTACTTACAGCACTAAGTCTATGAACAAAATGACTTGAAGAACAGTCAATAACGGGGAGAATAATTAAGCTATGCAATGTTAAATTCAGTCTTTGTCTATAATTTTAAGGCTCGTGAGGCCTCTATGCTATACAAAGAATCACAGGCAATGAAGTCATGTGGAAGCAGGAGAAATAGTTTTACCTATGGAAGAGCACAAAGACTCCTATCCAATACCAGAAACCATCCCTGAAAATATACATCTGAGCAACGTAATACAGACTGAGCAGGTCTGAACAAGGACTATACATATATAAACATATTCATATACACCTGTGACAATAATTAATGACAAGGTGGTTATAAGTTTGAAATAGAGTAAGGAGAATACTAAGGAAGTGTTTTCAGGGAGGAAAGGGAAATGATATCCTCATAATTTTATAAAATAAAATAATTTAGAAAAGATCTTTGGAGCGCAAAAGTATGAAGAAAATGAGCCTACCAGGGGTGGAATCCATCAAAAAAGAATCAGGAAAATGAGAATGAGAGTGGTTATCAACACTTTCTCTTCCTTCTTCTAATAGATGGTATTTTATAAAAAAAAAAAGACTACTATGAGCCACTCTTCAGTGACTGACTTCATCCTTGAAGGGCTAATGACATGAACAGAGCTTCAGCTCCTATTGTTTCTCTTGTTTCTTGTAATATACGTGATCACAGTTATGGGAAACTTGGGCGTGATACTTTTAATCACCATCAGTTCTTAACTTTTTTCTCCAATGTATTTTTTCACAATCATTTATTCTTCATTGACCTCTCCTACACCTCTGCCATTATTCTTAAGATGTTAGTCAATTTTATATTGTGAAGAATATCTCCATTTTGAAGTTCATAACTCAGCTTTACATCTTCCTCACTTTTGTCAAGCAAGAAGGCTTCCTAATAAAAGCCATGGTCCATGAAGTCTACATTGCCATCTGGAGCCCACTGCTTTACAATATTGCCATGTCCCAAAGAGTCTGTTCCATAATGATGGTTTTGGTAAACTCACTGAGTTTGTTTGGGGATACTGTCCATACCACATGTATGACAATGTTGTCCTTCTGTGGGTCATATATTGTCAGCCATTATTTTTGTGATGCTCTGTTTTTGTTGTCTCTGTCTTGCTCCAACCCCCATATCAATGAGATACTGCTATTTATTATTGGTGGAATTAATACTCTAGTGCCAACAATGGCTATCATCATGTCTTATGCATTTATTCTAACTAGTATTATTGCATCAGATCCAGTGGAGAATGTTCCAGAGCCTTTGGCACCTGTTGATCCCATATTATGGCTGTGGGAATTTTCTTTGGGTCTATAACATTCATGTATTTCAAACCACCTTCCAGTAATAATATGGAAGAGGAGAAAGTGTCCTCTATGTTCTATACCACAGTGATCCCAATGCTGAATCCCTTAATATACAGCCTGAGGAACAAGGATGTAAAGAATGCACCAAAAAGGGCAATTGGGGTAAGGCAGTCACCCTAAAATTGAGAGAAAAAATGAAAACTGAGAAGTTATCATTGTTTCTTTGTATTTTTTTCCTCCAGAGAAAATTAGTCTTCATTACTTGAGAAATGGTTATTTTATGTTTGACAATGTCTGAGATATTTTTGTAGATTATCAAACAAGATAATTTACTGATGGATAGGGTAATCGTTGTAAATGTAGCAAAGGAATAGAAACAGATGAAAGAGGAAGGGTTTAAACACACTGAAATATTTTGATTATAATACAAATACTGCTCTCACTTGCCATACAGTACAGATAGCATAGCTATGTTTGAAGAAAGGTCTTCCTGAGTATTGGACACATGAACTCATTCATAAACATACTTGTCCCTTTATGGTCACAAGATAGAGACTGGAGTGATGCACATATACACACCAAGGCATTCCAGGTGCTTCAAGAACCTCAGAACTATTTGTATAGCTCTTCTTTTGGAATGTCTAGGAGGAGTGAGTTGCAATTTCAGCATCAGTTTGAGTAGGTTAAATCTAATTTTAGACATGTCTCTAGAATTGTAGCTTAACAAGTTTCTGTAAATTTAAGCCACTACATTTAAGGAAATCATTACAACAACTTTAAAATCAGAGTTCAAGGTAGCATCCTAATGTAAGCTGTGTGTGGACTAAAAGAGCCAAAGTGTTTGAAGAAAGATCACTGAATAGACAAGATAAAGCCATGGAAACGTAAAATTGGAAAAAACGTCATGATGTCCTCAAATTGAAAACTCACTGTATACCTATAAGTTTTAAATTGAGAAAAACTGAAATTATCCACTGAAATTCATCCTTCATTTACAATGACGAATACTTATAATGCATGCTGCTTGTTTGCCATCTGTTGTCTTTCAGCCTTTATAATGCTTCACTTGAGGATGGAGCAGTTTGTCAACCTCATCAAATTGTTTTTAAGATAAAAAGTAGATGTAAAGAGTGGTTAAATTTAATCCGTTTTCTTATAAATAAAAAGATATTTAAGACTGAATAATTCTATAAGTTAAGTGAGAAAAAGCTACATTGGCAAATGTTTTTTGTTTTTTGTTTTTTGTTTTTTTTTTTTTTGGTTTTTCGAGACAGGGTTTCTCTGTAGTTTTGCGCCTTTCCTGGAACTCACTTTGTAGACCAGCCTGGCCTCGAACTCACAGAGATCCCCCTGCCTCTGCCTCCCGAGTGCTGGGATTAAAGGCGTGCGCCACCACCGCCCGGCTGGCAAATGTTTCTTTACACTGAATAGAACACTGTATTAGGAAAGCATCCTGGAAGTGGAAGAGGAGGCAGAAAGAGCAGAAGAGCCAAAGGGGATGAGAACTCCAGGAAAATGAGTCCCTCTGTATCAACAGGATCAGCTCCCATATGAACTCATAGAGACAGAGACAGTATGCTCTGTGCTTGTAGGAGTCTGTAACACATGGTATCCTAGAGCTGAAAGGAGAAATGTACACATGCCCTGTCCCTAACCCAGAAGCTGTCTCCAATTGACAACCACTTATTAATGAAAATTTGGTTTTCTCCAAGGGAGTCTCACTGGGGAAGTAAACTACCCTGCCCAGCAGTGGAAAACCAGAAAAAAAAATGGCACTCACTGGCACCTCTGGGGGTCCTTTTCTCATAATGTAGTGTTAGGGCTTTTTTAATATTTATTTTTATACATACATATATAATATGTTATACTATGAAATGTACATATGTATTTTTAATATATACATAAACACACACATATATAAGGAGAGAGAGGGAGAGAAAGAGAGACAGAGACAGAGAGAGAGAGAATTTTTCTTTTTTTACCTTACAGTTTATTTGCAGATATATTATGGCTTCCAGTTTAGTATTTTTATAGGATTCTTGAGCATGCACATGAGTGAGTCTCTGCATCTGTATCTGTTTCTTGCATCTTTTTTGGGCTCTTTTCCTTCTTTTTGTTTATTTTGTCTTATTCCAATGTTTTTCTATCTTATTTTATTTTATTATTATTCCTTTGAAGCCTGTTTGTTTTCTAATGAGAGACAGAAAGAGTCCAAATTGGAGAGGAGATGGGAAGAACTGTGAGGAGTTGAGGAAAGGGAAACGCTAATCAGGATATATTGGATGGGAAAATATTTTTTCATTAACTGTAAAAAAAATGAATCAAAGCACTAAGGCTGATGTGACCCAAACACCTGGATACTGAATCATGAGAATTGCATATCTGAGTCCTTGGACTACCCCAAAATTCTACCCCCAAAACAAACAACAACATCAAAAGCTATGACTTAAGGAGGTAGAGAGAGGAATTTTGTGTTTAATCGTGGAGTAGCAAATCTCTGATATATTTCTGAAGAAAAACCTTCAAAAGTACAGTGGCTTGGGCTTCGAATGAGGGATAGCATGAATATGTCTGACCCAGCATCAACTGCCTAAGAACTTGTTTAGTTCCTCCTAATAGATGTAGTGCCTCCCTTAAGACCGCTCAAATAAAGTATAAATAGTTTCTTGTGTGTTTGTTTACTTTTCTTTTTTGTTTTTAGTTACTCAAAGCTAAACAAAAGAAATTATTTTCTGTATAAAAAAATCAATAAAATCTTAGACAACAACCAGCAATTAATATCTGATTTAATTTTGCATTTTATAGATAACTTGTTAATACATAACAAGGACTTTCTTTCCAACTGTCATTATTACTCTTGGGACAAATGGTAACAAGAGGCCAAGAAGCATTCTTGCAGGTTGTTCTTAAATGTTGGGAACTCTAGGGAATTGGTATACCTATGAGTGTTTTGTATCCCTAATAAATCTAAAGTCTCAGGAGCATCACATAAAAGCTCCATATCACACTATGCTCATGATTATTGGTCCTGGGAAGATAGAGGTGATATGCTTCAGAACACTGGTAGTTTGTCAGCCATTGACACTAATGTATGTAAGAAAGCAGGGGGCATTAATTTGAATATCATAAAATTTATCTGTTACGTGGAAAAGAAACCAAGTAATTTCTAAGAACCTTGCTTTCTCTGCAAGACCTAGGTGAGTGCCCAGTTTTATTTATGACAAGTTTTATAACTTAGAAAGGAACAGCTGGCATAACAACCATGTTCACTCACACAGAGTGGTTGTTTCAATATTCTTTCCAGTAGATGATGTCTTCCTGTCTCTTTTACTGTCATCCTTTCTTGATATTTTTTATGGCTGGGACACACAATCTGAGGAAATGATTTCAAGTCCAAATTTAACCAGTCATGGTACAGAGAACCTCACAGGAATTTTCATGACTCTGAATCATTTGATTCCCTAAAGAACTTCAATAGGATGTATTTATTACTGACTCTGTATCTTGCACACTAACCTGTACATATGTGCAAGAGAAAGAAATCAAAAGTAAATCCAACCTTAAATATACCATCCATTGATAAACATAAA